GCATTCTGACCAATAGCATGGCTTCAGCTATTCTCAAAACAGCATTCTGACCAATAGCATGGCATCAGCTATTCTCAAAACAACATTCTCACCAATAGCATGGTAGCAGTTTATTTCAAAACAGCATGTTGCTGTCAATGCCAAAAATATTCAAATGTGCGTTCAATACTTTAATTAAAGGGTGGTAGTTGTCACGGCACGCACATGCTTTGACTGTTGCACAGACCAATAAGTATAAACTGAGATATAACCAAACAAATGTTTTTGGTGATAAAAAAGGTATCAAAGTGGTCATAGGGCGCCCAGGTCAATCTTGTACACATGATTTCATTAGAAAAACACATTCGATTGTGGGCAAATTAATGTTTATCAACACAAATGTCACACATGAGCGGTATGTAAATGTACGGTAAAACAGCCATTGCGAGCGTCGCTTATTCACTTTTAAAACCTTAACCAATTTTAAAGCAGTTTAAAGACTCTAGGGCGTAACCTACAATCATACAGCCAATCACACTAAGTACTGAACACGTTATATCTTTTGATTAATCGTTCACTATATTAGTAACTGCGAATACCAACTGTCAGAAATAGTAGTCCGAATAGCGACGGTTATATCGTAATTAGTTCCAAATCACTGAGTCGAGTTCCGTCCAGGACCTAGCATGAGCCTAAACGATGACAGACATAACACAGCCATTCGCTAGTAATCAGCTAAATAAGTCGATCAACAGATACACGCAAATAAATTCACCACACTGCCATGACCGTAGACCACATCGTTTTGTAATTTGGAAGACCATGTTTAAATGTGTGTCAATTCTGTGGTAATTATTCTTTTGAAAATGCCCGTTATCATTAATAGAACCTTTGTTGCCTGGCCTATTTATTTTTATGTCACCCATGATACAAACTGCAAGCTCGAACCATGGAGGTAACCATGCTCGAACGAACTGTAAATGAACTACTGTAAATATTAAGGCAACTGGTGTAACAAATTTAACAAACTGAATACAGCAGCGTAGACCATGTCACTCTAGTTGGAACTGTGAATATACCCGACTTGAATTCGGATTCTGACAAGTTGCCTTGTCGCCATAAATGACTTGTTTATTTTACGCATGCTGACTATCTGTACTGTGCACAAAGAGCGCTTGCTGTACTTGAATAATCAGTCAAATTAAAAAAAACTATGCTCCGCCCATACGGGAGGTAAATGTAGGTCAATTCCAATTCCAAAGGTAGCTTCGATGTTTCCTGTTCAGTTTTTATGTCATGACGAATGCACATAGTCCTATATGATCTGTTTCTGAAACTTAAAGTATGTAGTTAGTAAACACCCAACAACTATCTCATCGAAAAAAGAACGATCGCGGGCCATATGCAGAAAACAATTGTTGGAAAAAAACTATATGCTAAAAATAAAACTTATCAACTGGGCATGAGATCTCACCAATGCGTCAAGTGATTATCCAATCACAGACGTGAATTCACGTAGCAGGCGATGAACTCAACTTGATCTTTTGATGTGTAGCTTCCTAACCTAAACATCGTCTCAAATATATATTATCTTTACTATTTCTACGCATCAGTATTAGCATTTATGTCGCCAGTCAGTAATGTTACAATTTCGCTGCGACCGAGAGTGAAGAGTTTGCTTATTGTTCACCGTAGCGAACACGCCAGCGCCATATAGAGCGTGCGTGTATATATTACCAGTCATCGCCGTGCCATCCTAGTTCAACGATACGAGTATGGCAAATATATATGATACGTAAAAGGATACATATTAGCTCCGTTATAAGTTTTGTCGTTACGGAGTGTCTGCGTAGCTCTGATCAATATTCTATTGAAGCATCCCTGACCGGAACTCTATACACATTGACGCTTCTGGCGATTAGTGTTAGCTTGTAAATAAACTACGAGTATTTCTGCAACATATACAAGTGATTAGTAACACCTCAAATAAAAAACTACCCCTGGAACTGAATTGACTCAACTTTTCGCGACAATCGTAGGTTAGACCATAAAGCAAGAGAACAACAACAATAAAATCACGCCCAGGTTTTTATATTTGTAATGATTCAGATTGCAGTGCAGTTTGCCGGTGAAACGTACCGCTGTCTGCAGACTGCACGCCACGTTCGGGGTTGTTTTGTAATTCAAATTATGAATACAATGGTTCTGCGGAACGCTGTGAATTACATCCTGTCGCAACGTTTTTCCCCTCAATTCACCGAATGAAACGTCCTCGCGAGAGAGTTTGACTTTTAATATGCTGTGTCAAATCTCTCCGCTTCATGTTTGGTACAATGTAACAGAAGGGTTCGTGAATCCACGCTACCATTGGTTGCCTGTCGGCATACCTTTGATGGTTCACACGACGTTTAAAAACTGTTTTCTATTTTCCACTGCAGCAACGCTCAACAATATAAATCAGCCTTTTGTTTTATGTCTTACTGTGAACTCTCATTCGACTGTTTTTGTGGCATTGCGAACTCTCAATCGTCAGTTTTTTTGCCATTGCGAAATTTCAATCGTCAGTTTTTTTGCCATTGCGAACTCTCAATCGTCAGTTTTTTTGCCATTGCGAATTCGCAATCGTCAGTTTTTTTGCCATTGCGAACTCTCAATCGTCAGTTTTTTGCCATTGCGAATTCGCAATCGCCTGTTTTTTCGCCATTGCGAACTCGCAGCGACGCTCGCAATGGCTGTTTTACCGTACATTTACATACCTCCACATGATCACCACTGCCTTTTAAATAAACTATTAAAAATTCAGAAAGTTAAAAAAACACTGCGCAAAGTTTATATGGAACTAAAAACAGACGGAGTATCACACATAGTCAGCCCTAAGTGGTATTTTTAGGTATGAAGTAAATCCAGCCAGCTTTAAAAAATTGTACAGTTATATTTGCACTTACAAATTCAAACACAACCAAGAGCAAAATTAAAGGAGCTGACTTATTATTACTGAATATTGATATTAGTATTATAAGTGTTATAACAGTAAATTATACTTTGAAATTGAAAAAATAAATAGTACTGTAAAATCTGTATTAGAAGCTGCGGCTTCTATTAAAATGATACAATGAAATGGAAGGGATGCGGCTTCTATTGGAGCATCTACACATATGAGAAATGGTGAATTTTAGGTTCTCATGTCCAAAAAGAATGGGTGCGACTTCTATTAGGAATGCAACTTTTAATACAGCTTTTACGGTACATACCATATATATTTTCTCTAATATAGAAGGGCATCTTCAATAGAAGCAGATATGAACCAAAAATTGTATTTATTGTATAGTAAATCATCAAAATTTTACTTATTATGAAATAGAAACATCTCGGTCTCTAATTGCTACTAATGGAGCAATATAACATGGTATTGTATGTCTTAAGTATTGAAACAAAGAAAAATAGGTTTTAAAGATAGTGTGTGGTGAAAATAACAATTCAGGAAAAATACATCATTGGTCATTCTGCAGCGGGAGTGTAAACATACAATGTATTTTACTTGTTTTGTATATATGTTGGTATTGGACCCGTGGGACCCATATTAAAATAACATGTAAGCTTAAAAGGTGGTAGTCAGCACCACCAAGATATATGGGTCTCATGTAAACAAAGATGGCGACTTTGACTGATCGACGAGTACAAACTGAGAAGAATACCAAGTTTTAATTAGGTATTTTTTTTTAGATGATTGAAATGTATCGAAGGAGTCATTAGCAGTAATTAGTGCAAGTCACGCCCATGTCAAACCTAATACTTTTCATTTCCATTAGAAGAGCGCATTGGATTGTAGGAAAATCAGCACAAGTGTCACACATGCGCAGCACAATGACTGTTGCCCTTTAAAAGAGCGCATTGGATTGTAGGAAAATCAGCACAAGTGTCCCATATATGCAGCGCAATGACTGTTGCCCTTTAAAAAAGCGCATTGGATTGTAGGAAAATCAGCACAAGTGTCACACATGCGCAGCACAATGACTGCCGCCCTTTAAAAGACAACCAGCACGCAAGTCTTAGACCACAGCAAAATGTAAGCCAATGTACACCTTGGTATGACATTATTACTAACCCCAAAATGTTGCTTGCAATCAACACATACTTCAACATTGAATGATTGTATTTTATTTTATTCCCTGCTATCATTTATTGTTGTTAGGGTGTGTCATTTAAAAGAAGTGCCTCACAAGCCAACCAGGGATGTTTTGTGCATCAAGTTGAAGGACGAGACTACACTGATCCAGCATATGAACTTGAACTATCTGTGGAAGATGATAAAAGTGAAGTGGACATGACATTCTGTATCGGCACTTACAAAGGTGGTTGTGATGTTCTAAAAGATGAAAGTATGGGAGGATTTTCTACTGTATTTGAGCAGGTATTAAACGAATGTTTTGCCGAATTTTGAGATTTTGGCTTATTTTCAGGTTTTATTCATTTTAATGAAAGTCAATTGGTGCTAAAGCTATTTGTGAAATACAGCTTATAGTCTTTTCCACAAAACGAAACGAAACGTGAAAAAACAAACACAATGAAATTAAACCAAAATTTTGAACAACTTCAAACATCGCCACGTCACAGAAATAAATTTGTCAAGAATGTTTAGTTTCCGTCTACTTTAATTGCAGCTCGATTCATTTGTGCTGACATGACGTGACAGCCATTTTGGAATTGTTGAACACTGATGGCGCTGTTCATTTTGTGTTTCACAGTGTGAAATTTTCTCAGATATATTAGGCCAAGGGAAAAAAATGCTTAGGGTTAGGGTTTTGTTTCGTTCAAAAGACTAAACCATGAAATACCAACATATCATGTTACTTTGTGGACATCATTATGGCTTTCATCACACTTCCTAGGTGTTGAGAGGTGGTGTACCATTATATTACACAATATCTGCCAAGAACTCAGCTGGTGCTGTCGCTAAAGCTACATGTGAATTACCAACTTATGATGTAACATTACCTGGTGGGCGTGTGGTTCCCGATTTCCTGTCAACAAGTCATCCAAATATACTGAAAGCTTCTGCTGTTGCCTTGGATGATTCTATTATCATGCAACGGGAGGTAAAAGTCTGATTTGTTATTTAAACATCATTGTTATAAAATATTGTGCTTTTGTAGTTTATATCTGTACATATTATTAGCTCCGCTGTCAACGGAGATGACAGAGTGGAGCTGTTCATATAAGTGATTGTCAGTTGGTCGTCCGTCAACAATTGTATTTTCAACTTAAAAACTACCAGCTCAATTGTATGTAGGTACCTTCGGTGTTCATTTCATTTCATGACAGCAGAGCCATTTCGACCATCAGGTCGCTAATTGTTATAAACATAGCACTGAAAACAATAAAATGTTCTGTTCTGAACTTACACATATGCATATCAGCACGTATGTTCTATTTATCTCCTATATAAACTATGTCACCAATATTGACACGTTCAAACACATCCCTTATTTACATTGTACGTAGAAGCGTTATATTGAATCTAGTCGCGCTGATCACAAACTGTACAGCATGTTTTTTGTTAACAATTCGGGCTATAATGCCATTAAATTATCACTACAAGCAAGTGGTTGATAAGATCTTATATTAATAGCTCCACTGTCTTTGCAATTTTCTCATGATAACCTTATAATGTGTGATAAAACATGAAAAACATAAACATCTTTTATTCATTGTCATGCTCATCACCTTTATATTAAGATAGTATAAAGAACAATGTTCAAACTTGTTGAGCCCTGAATATAGTGTGAGATGAGAAAAACAAGAAATAAAAAATTCAAAGCTAATTGGTTATCACAAATCAGATAATGGCAAACTCTGTTTATATAAGGCATGTATATTCCGTAAGTAAACATAACTGTCAGGGTGGTCCACCCCTGAAAATCGATTGTACTTTTAAAGCTGTTTAACATAACAAATGGACTTTGGGTTCTGTCACTTTTCAGGAGACAGTCCACCAATTGTTCACATTCTAACAGTTTTAATAAATCAGGTACTTGTATATATATAAAGTTTGGTCAAAATGATATGTACTTGTATTTGGTAATCATGAATACATTCAAGTTCAACAAACTATATCACAGACAAATTCTGAGACCCTGTTTCAAAGAAATTATATTATAACAGTGAAAAAATTAAACTCATAGAAAGAACAAACAACTAGAACCAGCCAATCCTGTGTAAAAACCCTTATTTGTGCAAATATAAACACAAACAATATCAACACCTCCTACATGTATATATCAGCTTTCAGAAAATATATACATTTCCATAGCTGCATTATTATTAATATTATTTTTCTCTACCCACTCGCTACCTTAAATTACCATTATGATAATACCATTAGGCCCAAACATCCAAACATGATATGGTTTCACTTGAAATCTGCACATAAAAAAAAAGACAATAGTGATACTCAGTCGGAACTGTCCTGGCACAAAAATATAAATAGAATTTGTTTGGGAGAATGATAATGATAAAACTGTTGGTTCATGTGCTGTCCCTGTCCTAAATGTACATTATATATAACACATGTACATAGCAGTTTTCTGTGGGATGATGTCTCCTCTCCCTTAACCTATTAACCACTAAAATTTCTTGCCAAAATATTTCTGGAATGAACCCTGATTTTGGAGCCATCAGACAAAATTTTAGTTTAGAAAATTTTGCTATTTTTGTCCATAACTACTGAACTGTTGACTGTAAATGGAACTATTTGTGAATGTGATGACATCAAGAACTCTGAGAAATATTTTTTTTTTTTAAATAAATTTAAACTCGTAGGAAGCAGTTGGGTATGGTCAAGATATATTTGGAGATCAAGTTATCATCTGGAATTCATTTGAAATGGAGAAAATTAATCATGAAGTTGATATCGGACTTCATGATCCATTAGGTACGAAAAGTTTGGAATACTTTGCATCACCGCGGTTAGGAAGATTGAGGTCAACTTCCCATCATACTACGTCTTACCTGTATGCAACAAACTGTGCCAAAGACTGTCTAGCCCTTCCTCCCACCAAGTGTCTTAGTTTTAATTATGACTATGGTGAAAATGGCCTGTGTGAGCTGATGGAAGAGATTGAGGGACATGGTGTAGAACTCCATGAGGTAAGTCAATTTAATCACAATTGTCCATGATACACTGAAAAAAATGTGTTTGTTCTGTATTGTAATTCCAAAAATTTAAGTTGATTGAAACCTAGTTTCTTGCAGCATGAACCGTAATTTAGAAAGTTTGTTATTTGTTCGAATGCAATTATAATCTTTACCTACTAAAATGTTTGAGCTAAATTTTGCAAACTTTTATTTATTTTTATTAATAATTTTAACCATATTAACAAATTTCTATGGTAAAAATAAGTAATATTATTTTACATCTGTCACCGTAATGCTATAAGTTACAGCGTGCTGTAATTTTGCCATATTTTACAGGGTATTTCCATCCTACCATATAAGGAAATGCAACTTCCAAATATGGAATGATTACGCGCATAAGCGTCCTCTAATAATAAAAAAAAATGGCTGCCACCAGGGTTTGACCGGATTTCACACAAAAAAGTTTGCTGATTCTATTTTAAACTTTTTGGATTTTGGCATTCCCATGATGTATTTTTGAAAGGAAAGATGTATAATAATAAGGTTATTACGAAGATACCTCAAAGTATGCACTCAGACAGTACGCCGTCGCATTGACCTCTGCTGCGCGTTGGTCGATACTTCCACTGTACTGTCTTCGTGCATACTTTTCGGTATCCTCGTAATAACTTCATATTATGATTCACAACAAAATTAATGTAATTTTTGTTTATTTGCACTTCTATAGGAGATGTACTTATTACAGCGCATGATATATAGTTCAAAACTCTACAAATCTGAATAAACTTTTAATTAATTCATAAATGATGACAAAAGTTAACTTTTGCTGTACAATGATTACAAAATTTATTATCTTGTAATTATGATTACAGAATGGTTATTTCTATAATTTTGAACGACTTGGTATTGGTCACGCTGTAGAATTCATCCATGACGACCTACAACTCAGACACAATGACTTGCATTTATTCAATATTCATCTCAATAACTCATTAGGTAAGTCTACATGTAATTATTCATATTTTTTGTGTTGCAATCTGTGTACAATAATTAGCTAATTTCAGATTTTCCATTGATATCTCATGATCCAATATAGTTCACTTTCATGACTTCACACCTAGCACTTTCGTATAAAAAAATTAAAAGTGAATTTATTTTATTAATATTTCAGTGCAAATTCCTCAACTTGATTATTTGTTTTAGCTACTTGTCATGAGTAAAATGTGACTAATTGTGTATGTTTATGATACAGTTATACCAACAAAGGTACCAGGATATGTGGTCTTCAGGGGGTCATGAACGTGGTCTATCATATTTTGATGAAACTTGGTACATAATTGCACAGAGCTGATAAGATATGGGTTGAATACCATCAGTCAAATTCAAATCAAACTTTATTCATGGATTCTATCCATATTACCTGCCTGATTTGCATAAATTACTTCATTTGCATAAACTACCAATTCATTTGTGTTCCACTGATATCTTCAATACCACTCATCAATTTTGAAGAAACTAGGCAGTCCTTTGAGATAAATCCATAGACCCATAACTTTAGGGTTGAAATCCTAATTTGCATATTAAGTTTTACATATTTCTCGATATCTCAGTTAAGATTTAAATTAAACTTGGTACATTGGTGCCAACTACTGCAGGCTTTAGGTATTATAAACCTTAATACTGTGAGTCAGATTACTTTCAAATAGGGAAAATTTCAAGGACAGAGCTATATTAGTCAACAGGCGTCTGGGGCAGCTGTTTCAGGAGGCAAATAGTAAACCTGTAATTAATTACAAATATCCTGTATTTGTACTCTTATACCCTTAGTACACAAGCGGTTGTTTTAAAGTTTATTTGATTTGAATTTTCCCCTTTTTTGCCATAAACTTCAATTGTAAATTTAACAGACATTAAGTATTACCGTATATACCATGATAATAAGTTTGAGTTGAGTATTGAAGTGTGCCCTCCACATTTTTCTCTGTTCACAAAGACAACCATTTCCATTATTTTCTAGGTAATCTGACCTCAATGAACACACTCTATAGCTGGGACAGTTCGAATTGCACTTACCATCAGTTGTGTTTTCATATTTTACTCTAGGTTACAGTAACATTATTAATTCCAAGGGTGTATTGGTTGATTTTGTCCCACCGGAACCAGGTCCGATCAATAACGCTATCTTTGATGCAGTGAGTCATGAAACGTGCACAGAATATGTTCCAGATGAGTGGGAAAACAGATGTATAGAAGAAACTCCATTACCGAATCACAGGTGTGCTTTTTCGTCACATGCTTCGTGGAATACACTTCAAATTTTATAGTCCAAAAAGTACAATATAACAGTATTTTATTTCACAATAATTAAAACTATAATCAACTATGGTAGAGAAATAATACAAAATGGCTCATCGTATCCGTTTTCCTAAAATATAATAATTAATATTATTGACAATATATGTTGAAGACATTATAAAAGACTTTTTCATGAAAATAATTGAGAAAATACAGCAATGTACACACACACTAATAATAGAATATTTAATTACAAAACCAACAAGGCAAAGAGCAACTGACAATTCAAAAACGAGAGCACAATCACAACGTCAGAACTAGTTATCAGAAATCATGTGTTGATTTTTTTCAGTATCTTCAGATCTATTTTTAAAATGACAATAATTCAAAAACAAGAGAAAAATCAAGACGTCAGAACTAGTCATCAGAAATCATGTGTTCCTTGTTTTCTTGTATTTTCAGATCCATTGTAGATGGTTTTGGTTCCTCTTGTGTGTTCAATGGACATGAAACTTTGGTTGATATGCTGTATACTCGGGCTAATAAATACGTCTCGGGTCAGTAAATTCATTTAGTTTGCAAACAATTAATGTCTGTTTTATAACACATTGGTATTCAGAAGTGTCCATAAAGTATCCATGGAATACATGTAATGTGGAGTCCTGTGAAAATTTTCCTAAATGTCAACATTTATCTAAAACAAAACAACAACTTTTAAGATAAATCATTATGTGTGAATCATCACACAACAATTTTTGAATTATTTACTGTGATTATTTTTCTCCATCATTTAATGTTAGTGAACTACCTTAACATCCATGATTATACTTTGTAGATACAGCAGGATGTTTTGCATAAAAAAACATTAAACATACAGTTTTTTGTTCACTGATATTATTGAAATCTGTACACACAGCAAACTGGGATGGATTTCATGATCTGGAGACCCATATATTTGGATACACATGGACTGTAGGGACAGATCACTGTTTAGATGATATCCATCCGCATAAAGATCCCCATAGTCATTTATTTGATGAAAGTGAATGGACACATACTGGTATAGCTCATCCACTTGAATTAGATGGTAAGTAACTCATGTTTACACATGAAACTGTAGGTTAACTATGGTAGTCTTTGTACAGATAATTCTAGTGACATTTAATTTTAATTGTGATATTGGTCTGAGAAAAAATGTACAATGTTTTTGGAAGTTAATGATGTTTTGAACATATGCACTGAAGAGCACATTTTTAACACCACAGAAAGTCATTAATTTATTTTTTCTTTCATTTTACTGACATTTTTTTGCTTTTCCTTTTAATTTTATCTCTTTTGGATTTTTTGTATTTGTATTTCTTTGTATTTATGTTCTTTACCATACAAAAACCATCTGAAGGTTTTTTAGTAGTGTAATAAAGTTATTATTATATACTACTGGTAGATACCAAAACATTGTGGCAACAATATTATTAAATAAATTCCTTTTTTTACTGTGATTATTGTGCAAAAGTAAAAAATGTTGAAATTTATAAGTCATTTATTTCTTTTTATTGAGACATTTATTTACTAGGCATCCATTTATTTATTAGTCCCCGTTCGGACGCAGCCCCAAAACTGGGATTTATGTTTTGAACTTTGTGCGTCTGTGTGTGTGCATGCTTCTGACCCTGTATCCTAGACGTGCCTGGACGTGCCTTGATCACTTCACACATACATCATACATAATATTATATATACATTTGCACATCAATTTGTTTCACAATCTGATTCAAAATGGCCGAATAGTGGCCATTTTTGTGCTAAAAAATCAAGCATTTTTGGATGGATTTTGTTTAAACTTGGTGCATTCGTTGGACATTATGGAACCTTGATGCACATAATTTTATTTTTCAGATCCAATTTAAAATGGTCAACTGGCGTCCATTTTGTTTTAATGAATGCAGTTCTAGTGCAATATCTCTGCCATGCTTTGACTTATTATGTTCAAATTTTATATATTCATTACACTTCATGACATAGATACATGTATATTGCTTTGACTATCTGATTCAAAATGGCCAAATGGCAGCCATTGTTGTGCTATTTCTGGCATTCCAGAGCTGGATCTTAGAGTTTATGGATGGATTTTGTTCAAATTTGGTACATACATTGGACATTATGAACCCTTGATGCACATCATTTTATTTTTCAGATTAGCAGCCATTTTGTTTAAATGAATGCGCTTCTAGAGCCATATCTCTGATTTGCTTTTACTGATTATGTTCAAATCTTATATATTCGTTTTACATCATGTTATAGATACTGTATATAGATGTATTCAAAATGGCTGACTGGTGTCCATTTTGTTTTAATTAATGCTGTTTCAGAGCAGTATTTTCTCAATATGGACGTGTTTGAGAATCAGATACAAGATGTCAATCATTTTAATGTTAAAAAATCATCATAATCAAGCATCATCTTCTGGATTCATACTGTATATTGCTTTGACTATCTGATTCAAAATGGCCAAATGGCAGCCATTGTTGTGCTATTTTCTGGCATTCCAGAGCTGGATCTTAGAGTTTATGGATGGATTTTGTTCAAATTTGGTACATACATTGGACATTATGAACCCTTGATGCACATCATTTTATTTTTCAGATTAGCAGCCATTTTGTTTAAATGAATGCGCTTCTAGAGCCATATCTCTGATTTGCTTTTACTGATTATGTTCAAATCTTATATATTCGTTTTACATCATGTTATAGATACTGTATATAGATGTATTCAAAATGGCTGACTGGTGTCCATTTTGTTTTAATTAATGCTGTTTCAGAGCAGTATTTTCTCAGTATGGACGTGTTTGAGAATCAGATACAAGATGTCAATCATTTTAATGTTAAAAAATCATCATAATCAAGCATCATCTTCTGGATTCATACTTCTGACATATATATTAACAAAACTATATATATTAAATTTGATCATGTTTTTCACTGTAGATGGGCAGTACCATGTGACTGTGAGAGCATTGAATAAAGTGGAATTTGGTGGGCCATTGGCGACTACTGTTTGCCATACAACACCATACACTATTGATAATACACCACCATTAGTACATGATGTAAACCTAATAGAATATGATGAAATAGCATGTCATATCATAACAGAATATAATGTCAGGTATGTATACACCACCCATAGTATATTTTTTTATACATTAATGAATATGATGACATGTTGTATAGTGATAATGGAGAGTATAATGTCAGGTATGTATACACCACCCATAGTATATTTTTATACATTATTGAATATGATGACATGTTGTATAGTGATAATGGAGAGTATAATGTCAGGTATGTATACACCACCCATAGTATATTTTTATACATTAATGAATATGATGACATGTTGTATAGTGATAATGGAGAGTATAATGTCAGGTATGTATACACCACCCATAGTATATTTTTATACATTATTGAATATGATGACATGTTGTATAGTGATAATGGAGAGTATAATGTCAGGTATGTATACACCACCCATAGTATATTTTTATACATTATTGAATATGATGACATGTGGTATAGTGATAATGTAGACTATATTGTCAGGTATGTACCAGGTATACACCACACCTCCTATAGTACATTTGTAAACCTTATTAAATCCACCTGTAAGATATTGTGTATACTTTATTGAACGTGGTGACATGTCTTTTAATAATAAAGTGTAATGAATAAGTGAAAAAGCATTTAGTTGCAGACAAATGTACAAATATAACACTAGGGGTTCAGTTAGCTTAGGGTATATTGTCATAATGGCAATTAGTGTCATGATTAGTGTTTGAAAATAATACAAGCTAATTGCTGATTCACAGGCAGCATCTGAATCACTGAATTCATAAATAAGACTACCTAATAACTGTTGATAAAGTATACTACCTTTCAATATAATGTTTTATATTCCAATATGGCCGCCCTTATGAATTCCCTGATGTAAAATGGATATTTCCTGAAAATTACTAAGATTATACCCAAAAATGCATATGGGCTTGAATTTTGTTACACAAGGTCATAAACTATTAGACGTATATTCTTATTATAGTTCTTTCTTAGAATATACTGCCTATATTATTAAGTTTAATAATTTGATACTGTACAGGTACTATTTTATCATATGTGATAAATCAAATTTCTTAACTTTTAATGACAATAATGATGTGAATAATTGCATCTTTGTAGCGACCCTCATTCCGGAATTCGTGAGATTGACTTTGGTCTTGGTAGAAGTAATCGTGATGTATACCTACTAGGATGGCAGAGACACGACAATATTACACACATAGGATTAGACTACTGTATTGCAGATGGGATACCAGCATGGATTAAAATTAGAGCTATTAATAATGGTAAGTTTACGCTGTTAGATCTCGCTGTGGCAATAATAAATACAAATATAGGTTATCTGTAACTCAAAGTTCTGTTAATTGAACATCGAGTCACAATTTGGGTGTGTTTTCGCAAAAATGGGCATGGTTTCTGAAATATTGGTGTAGTAATTTGATGTTTTCGTTACTGAATATCTGTTACTCGAACAATTCAGCATCTCATTCTGTTGTCACATTCACTTCAAATTTTATAGTATATCTAGTATATAACAATTTCACCAAAAACTCTAGTTCAACTGCTAACAAATATATTTCACACAAAAATCAAAATAATATACAGTGTTTAAACAATGTACATGAATTTAACACTGTATAATGAAAGTCTATTGTAAAAAAAATATTTCGGGTTTTGGGATTCTAGAATTATTGATAAGGTAGTTATACATAATGCTTGAAGAGCTCATACCACTAATTAGAACACCATAGACGACAATGTTACAAAGATCAAAGTATTGTTTTTATAATTTGTTGAAACTACATGTATGTAATATAATTCTGGACAGTAAAACACTTGTTAGCCAGCTCAAACTCCTACAAAAAGAATATAAGCAAAATGCACACATTTGTCAGTCCATCTACCTTCAATATTCTCAGAAACGCAGCCATTTTGGAAGTGTTTAATTAAAAGTTGCACTAGAACCACAGGTCAATAAACAAAGCTACACACACAAGTTTAACAGCTGACGTAATTGAAATACGCCTTCATACTTCGCAATCAGATGAAAGAAAACCCATTGGCTAACAACAACCATAAGATTAAAGGGCTACGAATGCTGATTAGTGGCATGCTATCTGGACAAGCGCCCTCAGTGACAAAAACTTTAAATTGTTCCGCTTTTGTTTTCATATACAACTAGTACTACATATATGCCGATTCTAGTATAATGGATAGGGTTAAAATTGTGTTTATTTCACAATATTAAAAATAATTCAACAATAAAATGTATATTTTTGATATTTAAATTCATATATTTCTATTTTCTTTGTAGTTGATCTACGTACTGTCGGACATTCAGACTTCCCCATCCTGGTGGATAGAAGCCATCCCATACCTGGTGATGTATTTGATGGGTCACAGCATGGAGTGGATATTGACTACCAATCAACAAGTGATGCTATCTGTGCAAACTGGCAAAACTTTCTTGACATGGAGAGTGGCATTCGTAAGTTGAAAAATGATTGTTTTATGAATGAAACAATTTATTGATTGTGCGATTGATCTATTGATTATTTGGTTTAATGACCTCAAGATTGATTGATAATTCTTTTTATTGGTTGATAAATCTTTTCTGATTGATTAATATAACAGTCTTTTGATTGATTGATTTTTCCCCTGATTGATTGACCAATATTAATTGATTGGTTAGAAATACACTACAAGCAGCCTCTCGGCTGAGATAGCTCCGCTGTAAGCAATGCATGTTTCAATTAAACAATTGAATATATTGTGACGTTAAATGCGGGGGGGGGGGGGCTTTATGGGGCTACACCGTATTCAGGATCGGGGAGCTTGTCTTTAATACCGGTCTAATAGTCTTTGTCTTTGGTAGCGTGCTTATCTTATAAGTCTCCTCCCTCTCAGCTCGTCCGCTGTCACAAGGTGGGGATCGTTTGGTGAATGTATATCACCACAACTGAGACTGTGCAGAGAAAGAAATATACCAGTAACGATTATAACAAATCAACACAACACAATATATACGGTTTCCTGTACTTTAATAAACAAATAACAGGGATGCTGGTCACTGGAACCAGCAAGGAGGGGGATACACTGTAAAATAAAATAAATTAGAGACTTGATCGATGCTGCAGGGAACACTCCACTCTCCATTGGACAGCAATGTGCAATGTTGCGTTCCTTCGTATCTGGCACACTGTCGAAGCAGCTGCACTACAATTTAAACTCGTGCTCTGTGTCCAGGGAGTATCGGCAACTGCACTGCTATCTGCTGCTACTGGTAGCACTGGTACAACGGGAGTAGTTCAGGCAGTGAGCTTCAGTGGTTCCTGTTGATCAGCAGGGATTACTGCACAGCATGTCTACATATGTACCCCTGTATAGGGTACAGCTCACTGGAGTCAGGAATCAGCATCACAAGATGTTACAGGATCAAGTCAGGTCACCTTCCTGACTAAAGATTTTCCCTTATGTCTCAACTTAAATACCCTAGCTAATTTATGGCCATGCAAATAATAAAATGTATATAACGAAATGATTGGTTATCTCGAAATAGCCGACAAATCAGTGTACAGAGGATGCCAATTTTGGTAGTGGAATAAACCACTCTTAATCCAAGCTCTACCAATTTAAAGTAGGAGACTCGGATCAATGATGTCATATCTATTTTCATTGCCAACAACACTGGGTTCAGCACATTCCAAGGTATTTCACAATCACCATGTCACTGTCTGAGCCATACCATTATGCCACAGGGAGAGACAGGATGTATGTATCTCAAATTCTGCTGACAACACAATCCAGTGACTGTATCAGCAGTCTTAAAAATAAACATGTGCAATGGGTTGTTGCAAAGTATCCAAACATGTGCGCTTTTCATTCACACAGCCAGGGCTCTGTACTTTTAACTTACAATTTATGTCACAATATCATCACAAAATTAACAAATCTAAGTGAGGTCTACCAGAGGTACATATACACCAAGTATCAAAACAATCAGGCTTGTAGTTTTCAAGAAGAAGTCGAAAAAGTAAAACATTGACGAGAACGATGACAACGACGGACGAATGATGATGGACAATCACTCATATGATAAGCTTGACAAAGTCAACAGCAGAGCTAAAAAGTACTTCAAATTATATTTTTAAATTATCAAAGAAAGAAAGAAAATTAACACCATTGACTGACTGCTTCTTTATAGGTAAATACACATGGGGAGTAGGAACTTTCCCGGGAGGTGACGACGTTGTTAGTTTCTATGATCTTCCACATACAGTGCTACAGCAGTGTAGTATGAATGTCAGCTTAACACATAACACCACCTACTACACCACTATCTTTGCATACAATGCTGGTCACAAATCACTCAATGTATCAGTGATCTCTGATGGAGGTATGTAACACTCTTCAATTTACTAAGTGCTTTATTGTCAGTGTTTAGTAGGCAGTGTAACTGGGGTTGAAATATCGCTGAATGAAACTTCCTTTCACCACATACATACTCTTGGCATTAAATTGTGGTCACTTAATAATCAAATATTCAGAGAGAAAAAATGGAAAGTGAGACTCTCAACCCCCAAATCTTAACGCAGAAATATTTACATGGACATGCTGTCGCAATCAAAATGTGACCCAATGAAAAAGGATTGCTCATGACTAAAGGAAATTTATGGGGTAAAATAATTATATACAGAAAAGAGCACATCCGCATTTCTGTAATTTTCATTCATTCATTCATTGCAGTTCTGTATGATGCCACACCTCCAATAGAAGGTGAACTACGTGATGGGCTGGACCCCAACATTGATATGAGCTACTCCTCAGAATTGGCAACAGTATCAGCAAACTGGAATGGATATTCCGATCCAGAATCAGGAATCGGTGAATATGATGTCAGTGTATACAGAAGACATGCTGATTTTGGTAAGACAATATTGGAACTACTTTATTTTATGTGTCAGAATACATACTTTGGAATGGTGTTATATGCCACATGTACCTGATTACTACATATTTAGAAATATATACTAAATGTAATATAGATAATATAACAATACAAGAAGTGATAATTTCAATTAGAGAATATTACACTAACACATGGAACAATGACAATAAAAGAGATGATGCAAAACTGCGCACTTACAGTACATACAAAACCACACTAGACATGGAACATTACATAAAACACATAGATAACAGACATTACATCAAAATACTAGCACAATTTAGAACAAGTAGTCACAAACTAGCTGTAGAAACAGGAAGGTACACAAAACCAAAAACACTGATAAAAGACAGATTATGCACCCACTGTAAAGAGATAGAAGATGAATTACATCATTTACTAGAATGTAAACTGTACACAAAACACAGAGATGACGTTTATTACAGAGTATTGCATACTAACCCCTTTGGTTAATGAAATTTTAATTTCATAAACAAATGGGATAATTGCCAATTATCATATAATACTGGTTAAATAAAATCGAAATAACAGTGGATAGCTCCCGTAGGGGCGTCCTTCCCCTGTCATCTGATTTGCATACTTCCATTTTTACCACGAGAT